GTGTTTTTGATTTTAGCCATTCTGACAGGTGTAAGATGATATCTCAAAGTTGTTTTGATTTGCATTTCCCTGATCGCTAAGGAGGTTGAGCATGACCTTAAGTGTCTTTTGGCCATTTGAACTTCTTCTGTTGAGAATTCTCTGTTCAGTTCAGTGCCCCATTTTTTAATTGGGTTAATTAGCATTTTAAAGTCTAGTTTCTTGAGTTCTCTATATATTTTGGAGATCAGATCTTTGTCTGTTGTGGGGTTGGTGAAGATCTTCTCCCAGTCAGTGGGTTGCCTTTTTGTCTTAGTGACAGTGTCCTTTGCTTTTCAGAAGCTTCTCAGTTTTAGTAGGTCCCATTTATTCAATGTTGCCCTTAATGTCTGTGCTGCTGGGGTTATTTATGTCCAGCTCTTATATTCTTCCTACTTCCTTCTCTTCCTCAGTGTCCCATGAGCCTTGGTGGTGGTGGGGGGGGGTACTGAGAATGATGACCCTTCTAGGACTGGGCACTAAATCTCTTGGTCTCAGCACTCAATCAGATGCTTTGTGCCCCAGCTCCTCCTCAGTCATAATGTTCTCAGTCTCCTTGGAAGCAGATTCTCCCTCCAGGAAGATGGAACCTTTCGGTATTAAGATAGGACATGGTCTTCTACAGAGCTCACACTCAACAACCAAGAAATAGCAAACATTTAAGTTAGAGTTTTTGTGTTGGGCCTCGTTCCTTGTACTTCCCAGTCATTGTGGTCCACAAGCCACAGGCTGGACATGCTTGCTGGGATAGCTTACTTATACACACCCTCTTGTCTGTCTGTCTATCCCTGTCTCTTTTCACTCTCCCCTCTCTACTTTGCTATACAGAAACTTCTAGTCTGATACAGCCCACTTGTTTTAGGTCCAAATGTGGGTTCTGCTGTCATGGTAGGGGAGCCCCTGCTATCATCGTAAGAGTAAAAACATTTGAAAGAGGCTTAAAAGCAATGGTTTGGTTTCTGTTCAAGTACCATTAGTGGATGGGTTAACAGGTCAACAGACTGTCCCCCTCAGGACCTTGGGATCTTTGCTATCTTTAGCACCTGGCTTCCAAGGGACTCATTCCTGCTAACTTTCTTTCTTTTCTTCCTTCCTTCCTTCCTTCCTTCCTTCCTTCCTTCCTTCCTTCCTTCCTTTCTTCCTTCCTTCCTTCCTTCCTTCCCTTTCTTCCTTTCTTTCTTCCTCTTTTTTTCTTTTGACTTTTTCTCCGTGTATCAGCCCTGGCTGTCCTGGAATTTGCTCTCTATACCACGCTGCTCTCAAGCTCTGCCTCCCGAGTGTTAGGATTAAAGGCATGTGCTCCCACCACTGCCCGGCTGAGGCTGAAAAGAATAGATTTTATATCAGGTCGGCCGTATATCTCAGTGCTTGCACAAAATCTTGGGTTTAGTCCTTGTTATTGAAAAGTACACGAATGTTTTTATCACTAACACAGCTGGCATAGGAAGAGCATGCACCTTGGTGATAGAACCAGAAGCAACTGGGTTCCAAGTCTCAGCAGTGTTCAGATCTTACCTGCTTGGCATGCTTATGTGGTTCATGTTGTGGAAGTACCTGAGTGACTTGAGAAATGCTGGCAGAATCGAGTCTAAAAGAACTCTGTCTCAATAAAAACAAAACAGAAGTTCCCTGTTACCACCGCCCTAGCCTGCTAACATCTTTTTATGTGGGACAGGACTAAAGGCAGCACGTGTTTCTTCCTCTCATGTTTTCTGGGCTAGGACCCAGTCACAAGGCTGTCCCTAACTGTGGAGCGGTCAAATGTGCTCAGGAAAGCAGCCCCTGAGGGTCTGAACACAGTGGAGGGCAGCGCCTTGGGGACAGCTAGTCACCTCTGCCATACCGTTAAGGTGGGTGGGGATAAAGACACGGAAAGGCTCATCTGAGAACTGCAGAAACCACCAGAGAAGGGAACCTGTCAGAAAGGATAGAGGGCTTGGGGTGGAGCACGGTCTGGAGAGGGGATCCTTCCTCTCATGGGAGCCTGCTCAGTCAGCATTACATCCAGCCCTTTTCTTCTGTGAACAGGTTTCAGGGACCCGACCACAGAGACCACGCTCCTGGGCAGCAGCAGACAGCCACCATTCTCAGGGGCCACCCGCTGTGGGAAGAAGGGTGATGACCGCAGAGCTCCTGGGGAAGCACCTGGCCTCCCTGCAGGGGGCAGCCAGGTCGGGCCTCCTGTGAGCAAAGAGCTTCCTGCCTTCGCACTGCACAGACGTTTAACACACTCAGAACGCAGCTTAGTTTTCTAAGCCCTGGCTAAGAACTAGGAAGTGTGTGTGGTGTTTTTGTTTCACTGAAAACACTTGACAGCAAGACCGCTTGAGCATCTCCCAGTACCTGGTGCTCAGTGGGGCTCTGTGCCTGGCTGGGACCAGTCCCCGCTCAGAGATACCAGGGCTTTATTCAAGTTCAGTCCTGCTCGCACTCCAGGGTGCGACTACCTCACAGACACTCAGGCCTGGCAGTGGGGGTTAAATTGCTCAGAGGGAGGATGCTCTACCATTGTGTGAGGCCCCAGGGGATGGGGGTGGGGGACACTGAAGGGGTTTAATGGGGCCTCCTCACCAAGGGGAGATGTCTAGTTATGTGAGGGCTACCCACTTCCTGGTAGATGGGGGGGGGGGGTCTCCTTGCATCCTCTAGAAATTTGGGCTCACATTTCAGTGGGGAGGACAATTTGACTTCCTCAGGGGCAGTTCTGGGTTACTAGGCAAAAAAGACTGGAGTTGCTGGCTATACCCTTTCTGGCCATCAAAGTCACGAGTCAGATCCTGAGGGCTCCTGTGTCCCAAATCTGACCAAGGTGTCCTGACAGTTGAGAGACAGGGACACTTACTCTAGTGAGGATTAAAGTCCCCATGGTCCTGGGGAAGAGTATGGTTGCTGTGTAGCTATAGGTCACAAGGAACCTCAGAGCTTTAAAGCTGCCAGATTGCCGGGGAGTATAATGTTCCACACATGGGCTGTCAGCAGCAACTTTCCTGACTCCATCTTGCTTCAGTACCAACAAGACAAGCTCCCCAAACCCAGGAGAGTGGGCAGCGGGCTTGCCCAGCAGCCTGTGCCTGGTCCTTCGGAGCTTCCTAGAATAAGCAGGATACTGGTTGCTTCAGTTGTATGTATCAAGTAGCAGTTTCTTCCTGTTTTAACCAGCAGGTATGTGAGGTCAGCATCTGGAGTCAGAGAGGGGAAAAGTCTTTAAAATTTCAGTCCACTGAACTGTGTGTTCCAAGTGACTCAGCCAATTTAAATAAGAATGGGGAAAATGGAAGAGCCCTGAGCTCCTGGCTACTCTAGCTGCTGGAGAAAGATCTGTCACCTTTACTCTGTGATCTTCACGGGAGATTTTGTGTTCAAAATCTTAGTTACTATTTGAAAATTTTCATATTTCAGTATTCAAAAGCCAAATAAGCAGTATGGTTATGGCTGTGGCAAGACAGAGGACAGGAAGTGCTGGGGCTGCTGGAGCTGCAGGGCAGCAGAGCTGCAGACAGTTCTGACCTCTGCACTTCACCCTTCCCTGCAGGATGCCCCTGTCGGTGCCAGTGTAGCTCCCACGCAGTTCCCCTGCCCACAGCAGTGACCTGTGAAACCAAACCTCAGGAACCTGAGAGCCACACAGAAGGCTCTGGGCAGGCCAGCAGTGGAGTTAAGTAGATCTCCTGGCCCACCCATCCCTCAGGATTCTTTATAAGCAGTTTCAGAAGGGAGCTGTTAAAAGCCTTTCACACACAGTCAAGCTTTGAGAGGAATTACATTCATAAACTTATACTTTTATTCTCTTTCTGTACATGTTGGCAATGATAAAGCTTAAAGATGCATTTCTATGAAATATGCAAAACAAGGAATTTACATAAATAATTTATACTTCAGAAAATTAAAGTTGAAAAATATTCCCACATTATTTTAGAGTTCACAGTATATTTAAAGTACATCAAGCTTCCCTCCTTATATTTCAAACCGTATTGTCTGAGCAGAGAAGGATAAAATCTAACCAGAATAAAAGGATCAAGTTTCTGTTTATTCAGTGCACAAATGGATGCTACTTCAGTATCAGGCCACACAGCCCCTCGGCTGCAGTGTTCTTCCCCAGCCCTTCCCCTCCTGAGTGCTGTGGCCCAGCAGGGCTCACATGTGTGGACCGGTTCCAGCATCACCGACTCCACAGTGGACACATTTCCAAGTGGTAACGCCCGGTGGTCTGATGCCTCATTTCCACGTAATACTTTATAGCCCTGAAAATGGAAACCCTGGCACCTAGCGCAGCTGGACGTTAACACTAGTTACAAGGCACTGAGCTGTGGCGTTTGTCTAGAGGAAAGGTCATGTTTGCATAGATGGCTAGCAAGTTAGTGTGCAGGAACATACTGGCCCGGCGTGTGGCTCTGTGATGGATGAAGCCCTGTGATGCTCCTCAGCCCAGGAGAACGTACTCTTCCACTCTTGGACCCAGCCTGTGGGCAGCTCCCCTGTGCTGGCTTCTCCAGGCCCTCAGAGGAGAGTTTTTTGTTCAAAAAGCTGCAGGTCAAAGCGGACCCAGACTTCTCCAGTGGGGACTTCGTGCAGCAGGAGCCGGCGAGTCGTGGGGCCTTTGCTTTCCTGCTCTGTTCGAATTTTTGCCACTGGAACTTCAGTGCGACCCAGGAAGTCTGGGGAATAAACATCAAGTGAGGATCAAGTATCTTTGTTCCTTCTAAGATTTAAAACCTTGCCGAGCAGGAGAGCCCGAAACAGGATTTAGACAGCTTTCAAGCCCTGCGTGAGGAGCCCACTGGCTCACGATCTTTGGTCCTACAGTGGACAAACGCATGGTTACAGCTCCCTATCTGTTAGCCGACCGGGCAGACAATGCTCTACCCATCCAGTACTCACTAGTGTTTCCTATGTATGCAGGCAGTGCCTCTGCTCAGAGACCCTGCCCTCCGGCAAACACCCACCTCCTGCTGAAGTGAGCTGACATGGCCCTGTGTCATTTCCTGTAGCTGTCATGGGGCAATAGCACAGTTTAGGACCCTGGATAAAGTCTAGATCCCAGACAACCGGGACCACCTTCAGGTGCCGAGTTAGACTTACCATCTGGAGAAAACTGGTCTCTGTCGAACATAGTGAGACACAGTACGTCCTGGTAAAGATCCTTGATGAAGAACTGGCAGTTGAAGTTCCACTTGGGGTTTAGCGTATCTTGGAGGGTCCTGGTGGTATAGCTCTGGGAGCCCATGCTGACTTCACAGTATGGATTACTCTTTCCTGCACAGAGACAGGCCAAGGACACATACAGTGTGGTAAGGAAAGAGGGTGACCAGGGCAGGGTCTGTAGGCTGCTTCACCAGAGACCATGGCAAGAAGCGCCACTGCCTGGTAGGACACATTTACCTCAGAGCTGAGTAGCAGCATGGCCCCGTGTTCCCAATGATGCCATAATCCCGGGGAGCAAGTGTAGGTTCTAACAGCAGGGCTGTTCCCCACAAGCCTGAGAAGGTGCCAGTGTGACATGCTTTGTGTATGTTCATGCATTAGTAAGCAAGATGGGGGAAACAGTGAGTGATATTGGCCCAATAAACAGCTTATCAGGGTTCTAGCAACACCAGAACTACCCATCATCCCACATTCAAAAGAGGTACCAGTAAAGAGCAGGGTATTACCACATCTGTTGAGTAAAAGCAGCATTTACCATTTGGTTTGCAGGCTTTTAATTCTGTAGCCTCAATGACGTGCACCATCAGACGCCCAATACCTGACGTCTTCTGAGAACGTGCTACAAAAGAGGAAGAGAGTGGTGTTAACTTCTCTGAGAACGTAGACAGACACCACAGTGAGGAAGCTATGCTGCAGGGCGGCAGTCTGCTCTCGCGCCCTCTGTCTCCACACTGGAGACTGCACCATGTTAGGGCGTGTCCCACCAGCGGCCGGCCGTGCTTCCAGCCCTCACTGTGTCACTCTGTCTAGACCATGAGCCCCAGGCCAGCGCTGCTGTCGTCTGCTGCTGCTGGCGAGCTAGCTTCTCCCAGGCGGCCATCTGCCAGGGATGCCTTTCTGGCTGTCTTTGCCCATCAGGATCCGAGTCATCCTGAGATCCCGGTTAGTCTCGGTCAGCTCAGCCTCCTTCCCTCTGTGTACCACTGCTGTGTAGCCTTGACTGAGGCCTGAAATGCTGTACCCTGCCAGTCTCCTTCCTCTGCCTGGAGAAGCGACTGTGCCACGTGGACTGCTTATCTAGGCTTCGTAACCACAAAAATGCCTATGAATAGTAATATTAATTTTAAAATGCATCTGGTTGGCCAGTACTTCTGGCAAATAACATGTACTGGTTACCCCGTGTTAGGCATGTGCTAGATATAATATGGATTATATTTAATTCCAAAATTGCCTTATAAGGTAGCTCCTGTTTAATAGGTGAGGAAAACTGAGTCTTAGGAAGAACCCTGTGCTCAACTCACAGGTTTCTAAAGGCCAGGGTTTCATTCTAGCCCAAGCTGCTGGCCTTGAACTTGGAATCCTTCTGTTTCAGTGACCTGATCGGTCAACTCAACAGTTTTCCCCTTTTGGCTTTTCAGTTTGAGACAGAGACTCACTCACAGCCCTGACTGGCCCAGATCTTTCTCTGTGGACCAGGCTAGCTTTGGACTTACAGAGATCTGCCTGCCTCGGCCTCCAGAGTGGTGGGTCTAAGGTGTGAGCCACCACACCTGCCCCAGAGTTTTTAAATGGCAAGGTTACATCAGTTAAAGTGTGAATCACTCGTGCAAACTTCAATGACACAAAGGACCCTGGTCTTGGTGAGCAGTTTGTTTCAGGTTTCATGTATTTGGAGAGGTTCTGAAGCTGTTTTAGGGTGGGCAGAAGCGAGTCCTGCGTTCACACTGCTGGCGAACGTGAGGCTTGGTGTCTGGGCCTGTGCAGCCTTCCCACCTTTTCTCCTTCAGGTTTTCTGGTTTTTATTTTCTATTTGTTTGTTTTGACAAGTTATCGCTAGTATCCCAGGTTGCCAGGCCTCAGCCTTGAGGGCCTCTTGCTTCCGTTTCAGAGGTGGGTAGCCTTGTCTGTAAGCAGTGCTCTCCTCCCTGATATCCCCATGTCTCTACCATGGAGCATGCTCTTGTTCCTTGAAGGCAGACCCTGGCCTGATTGTCTCTATAGGCCCCACTGTGTGCGCTGCAGGGCCTGGCACACAGCCAATAACAACGTCTAAATGATTGTTCCACAGAGGATGCAGAGCAGTGCATGCATATAGACAAGAAACTCACGAAAAACCTTGATTTGTACTTTTGACAAATTAAGAGATCATTATGTATTTTATGAAATGATTCATCATTGATTTTTCAACAGCAAGCTTTTAAAATAGTATTCATTTAGGAAAAGGCAATTTACACATACCTCCAGGAGCACAGAACAAAATAGGGGAAACCTGAATAAAAAACACACAAGAGCTTGGGCTTCAGCAGCAGGGGCTTGGGTGGGAGCAGTGGAAGGGAGGAAGGTGGGGAGGGAGGGGCAGG